TGATCACAATGAATTAAGTGTGATCACCAAGCAGAGGACTGTTCTTGGTGCTTTGGCTTTTTGCACCCACAGATACAATCTCTCTTAGTCTCACTTTTCCCAAATTTGGTCTATTCTGAGATCTGGCAGTTGTGCATCCATAACCACAACTCGTAATTGCACGTGAGGTTATGATTATTATCATTACCAATGAAACAGACACTATGTATGTGAAGAGAGGGTCCTGGGGTCAAGTCCAACTCTATTCCCAGATGCAAGCCTGTGCTATGTCTGTGAAAGAGAGTGTGAGAGACATTTTATGATGGAGATAGTCAAACAGACAGAACTAATAAAGTGAAGCAATAGTTGTGTGGTTTGTATCAGAGGTCGTGTAGGGTCAATGACATTTACATTTTAATATAGGACAGAATAAAAGAGTAAAATATCACCTGTTCATTCAATGCACATAATCTACTTTTATAATTGAGTATATACAGAAATGTATTTTTGTGAGTACATTGTTGTTCCTAAAAACGTTTAAAATTACCACTAATTAGTGATGTTATTTAATGAAAATAATTGATCCAGCACAGAACTGTACTTTCACAATATTATTTAGATGTTTGTAACAGTAGATATATAATAGTAAAAATAACTAATACATATACTAATAATTTCATCAGTAAAAATAGATTTTTAATATTTACAGATTTGTTATATATGTTGTGTAGATGCATATATGTGTGTGTGTGTGTGTGTGTATATATAATACTTTTATTATTTTATTCAGCAAGGATGAATGAAACCAATCAAAAGTGATAGTTCATTCATTTGAGCTTTCTGTTCCTCAAAGACAAAATGTGTCAAGGTTTCCACAAAAATATGAAGCTACACAACTGTTAATAAGAAATGAAGAAATGTTCCACCAAATCATTATCTCAGAATTATTTCTGAAGTATCATGTGACATTGAAGACTGGAGTAATGGCTGCTGAAAATATATATCACAGATATATAAATATATGAAATATATTATGTTCTTTTACATTTTAATATTTCACTATATTGCTGTTTTTACTATATTTGTATCAAATAAATTCAAACTAGGTGAGCTGGTGAACATATTTTGAAAAGCACCAGCCACTAGGGTGAATTTTATAAAGAACTTGCCAAAAAAATGGCCAAATTAGGCCTCAATTTGTGTCCTACTAAATATTTTGGCCTTCTTTTTTAATATAAATATGTATTTTTTGCTTGTTAAAATTCCCTTATTGGTATGCAGCTTCAAAACCCACGCTAGTTTCTGCACAAGTGCTCTAGTACAGCCACAAGTCTCTCAAGATCAGTCTGGAGAGGTTGAGAGTCATTTCAGCAGATCATGAGGGGTTTCGATAGCGGGGCATTAATGATTACCCCTCACTGTGATTTGTTAGATGGAATGTGTGTGGGTGAGCGAGCTCCTTGGAGAATACTTCAGAGCTACATGCGTGCTGAGACACATCTCCACACCTCTAGAAGCAAACGTTCTTTGTTTTTTCTGCAGAGGTTTGGCATTATAGCAATTAGACTGTAATCACCGTAATGAACAGAATAACCGTCTATTATCCAAGTGCCAACTTTGACTCCCTGACTTGCTTCTGGGAAGAGATGAAAAGGTTTTCTGAATCTCCCAATCTTGTCGCAAACATGTTTTGTAAATATTTGAGGGCACTGAACGATTAGGGAAAAATCATTATGGTGAAGAAAGATGTGCACATGCACACACAAGAAGAACAGAGAACACACAAAGGATTAGACAGAGTATCCAACATCAGTTCACTGTTTAAAAAACCCCCCAAAGAAATCACATTTTATACTACATATTTCAACTTTGAATGTAAAATTAAATTAACATTAATTTAGATGATTAATCCTAATAAAGTAATCATAATAATAATTGATTTATATTAATAACCAACAAAAACATAATAAAGAAATTAGCACCAATAAATGCTTCATTTACCACCCTAATGTTTTTGCAGCCTGCAGTCAGCATAGACAGTGTGCCAAACCACACGTACTGAGAGCAGACAGCACAGAATGAGTCAGGAGCATGCTCATTCACACAGGACGTGTTCTTGCGTTCACAAATAGCTAGATGGGGAACAGAATGCAGGGGTCTCGCGACACGTTTTTAAAACCATTTTTATCTCGACATTTTTAACAAGTCTTGAAAAAAACTCTTCACTCGTGGTGCTGAGAAAACAGGAAAAGATGTCTGTCTGGATGAGTACTTAGGCACACTGCAGCTATGGATTTCTATTTTCTATATTTCTATATGGATTTCTCTGTCTCTCTCTCTATGTGTGTGTGTGTGTGTGTGTGTGTGTGTGGTATTAATAATTAATAATAACTGTTTTATTAGAATGATTTCTGAAAGATCATGAAGACTGCATCCATTAGTCTTCATGATCCTTCAGAAATCATTCTAATATGCTGACTTAGTGCTCAAGAAACATTTCTTTTTATTATAAATGTTGGAAAGAGTTTATTTTTATTTTATTTTATTTTATTTTAATTTATTTATTTATTTTAGAAACCATGATACAATCTTTTCAGGCAAAGCAACATTTACTTGAAATAGAAATGTTTTGTAACAATTTAAAAGTAAATTTTGGTGAATTTAATCAATCATATATATATATATATATATATATATATATTATATATATATGTCTTTACATACATATACATATTCTAAGTCTTAATTATTGTCCTTAGCATGTCCCGTTATTATTATGTGTCTATTTGTTGTTTTAGAACTCATTACTTTATAAAGCATGTTTCCATTTCATTCTTACAAATGACAAACAGTTCTGCAGTATTTACATTTACATTTATCCATTTGGCAGATGCTTTTATCCGAAGCAACTTACAGTTGAGGAACCTCTGAAGAGAACATATTGCAAAGCAAAGGCATTACGTGCAAAAGTTTCAGTTGAATGCACATAGCCCACAATGCTTTACACACAAACCTCAATAACAGTGACAGGCGCCAAACAATTCTTAGATTTACAAGGAGGAAGTGATAGAAGAATCGTTTAGAAAATACAGTACCACTAACACCGACATGGATGTATTGGCTATATATGGGACATTTTCCATTTAGTAAACAAGCAAATTCGACTCGGATACACTAAGTTGTGTTACTGGGAACAATTAATTAAGACTCAAAAACATCTCAATGCATCACACAGCCTTGATTTTTACAGTGAGGCGTTTAAAACCTTAACAACACTGGTAAAAACACCAACTACTGAAAACTGGGTCACAGTGAATCAGAGCTGATTAACCTTCCTATATGACTTTTGATTGACATTGGCCGCTGTTCTTGAGCATTACAGTATCTGTTTGGTTAGCAGTAACGTGACTCATAACTGGTATCTAGCACATCATGGGTTCAGTCACAGAATGACACACAAATACTGTAGCTGCTCTCTCACTGACTGTACATCTCATCCTCACACTTGTCAAAGACAAGTTCAGACCTGCCGATCTGATGAGACGGACTTAAAACACCTAGCATCTGAGCTTTAAGTGGGCTGGCACGCTCATATCTAGGGAAAGCCCAGTAAATGTGGTCTGTTTTTTATTTAGTGTAGAAATATGATTATGTGTTGCAAAAGGGGGTTCAGTAAGAGCTGTGCTGGCATGTTAAAGGCATATCAGAATATCAACATGTCATGTCATTTCGGTAAGGCTCACAAGTCTTCCTTTGGATGCCGTTTCCACCACAGACGTGGGGTCAAATGAGGCAAGATCTGCAGGGGACGAGAGAGTTTTGACTGTCTCTATGTAAGAAGGGTGCCACCTGGTGACAAACAGAAGAAGTGAACATACAATGGAAGGAGCCCATGGGATTGTACGCAAAAAAAATTTAAATATTGTCACCGGTTACTCACCCTTATGTAGTTCTAAAGCTATATGACTTTGTTTCTTCTGTGGGACACAAAAGAAGCTATTTTGAAGAATGGTTCCCATTGACTTCCATTATATGGTACCAAACAGTGTGTTTCCACCACAGTATAGAAAAAAAAAAAAAAAAAAAAAAGAGTACAACTTTTTTTCTTGCAATTCTGAGTCTCACAGTTCACACTTTTCACCTGCAGTTCTGAATAGTTTTTCTTAGAATTCTCAGAAATTCAAGATATAAACTCAGAATTGCGAGATTAAAAGTGGCAACTACCTTTTATTTTTTGTTCTGTGACAAAAAAAAACAAATCAGAATTTCAAGAAGTATCTCGAACTCATAATTCACTCATAATTAACTCATAATTGCAAGAAAAAAAGTTTGAATTCATATCTCTCAATTCTGAGTTTGTTTCTCAGAATTGCCAAAAAAGCCAGAATTGTGAGAAATAAACGAATTGCAAGAAAAAAATTTTTTTATTATTATTTTTTTATTCTGAAGCAAAAACGGGCTTCCATAGACTTCCATTATGTGGTCAAAAATGGAAGTCCATGTGAAGCAAAACTGTTTGATTGCCCACATTCTTCAAAATATCTTCTTTCGAGTTCTACAGAAGAAGAAAGTCATACAGGCTTGAAACGGCATGAAGGTGAGCAAACAATGACTTTAAGTACACAATGAATGTCTGTTTTAAAATTATTCGCCTTTAATACTGACTTAATGTGCATTATGTCATCGTTCATTGCAACATTTAACAAACCTCAGCCTAAATATTTTCTCATGCACAATGCACATGGTAGCGGCCTTATAAAAATGAAACAGATGTTCAGCTCTACATTAAAAAAAAAACAATAAACGAACTTTATCTTACTATCCATGACCTGAAGTGTTTGTATTGGCTTGCATAATGGTATTAATGGTTATAATAATGAGAGCTCACCCATTCTCGTCACTCACATAGCAGGAGAAGCCTCGTCTAGCATGCCAATTGAAATTTGGCAACAATGCGGCAATCTTTTTATGCTTTAGAGTCATTTGTAAAGCTAACTGTGATCTATTTCTGTCCTTTTCAGCACACAACAGTTCTTCCTTTTATCATAATTGAGATGAGAACAACACACCATCGATATCCCAGCAGGACCTGTGGACTCTTCGCGGTGTGCATGTTTGCTGTGGGATATGTTGTATGGTAAATGTCTCTTTTCAGCACAGTCATTTTTAATATCACACTGGGCTCATTTACAAAGGAAAGAAAGAAACTGTCTTTGCATTGTTCTAGCACAGTGTCAGTCAAAAGAAAGATTCCATCTGGTCACCTGATCTTCCTGACCTCCAAATCATTCCCTTATGTCTTTCTGCATAGTAATTAATTTGCTTGAATTCTGGCACTTTCCACGAATAGGGTAAACTTTGGGCTCCCATTACAGTGTAAAAGCATTAGAGGCACAAATCCCATGTAAACTATCACCTAACGTGAAATGAACCCAGCAAAAGGCGTCTGTATCCCCACTTAAAACAGAGACTTTGACTTGTCCCTTTATAAAAGATACAAGTTTATCAATAACTACAAGCCAACATTTGGTCAACTAGCTTTAGGCTAAACCTGTGACCCTGTTAGACATTCTGGTGTAGTTTAAACCAGCAGCAACAAGAACAATCATTACTATTATTATTATTTTAGTTATTATTAAATATATGGTGTTATAATAATTAATTAATAAGAAGAAGAATTCATTATTAATTGTTGGTAATAATAATATATTTATTTATTTGCAAGCTAACGAAAAAATCTAATAAAATCAAACAAACCAGGATTTTTAAACTATTTAGATACTGTTACATCATGTTCTGGTGTAGTTAAAAAACAACAACAATACATTTATTTCTTTTTTATTTAGTTATTTATTAATAGTTTATTTATTAATAAATGTAATATTAGTTGATGCCGTAATAAATATAATAATACATAATTAAGAATAAATAAAAGTAAATATGAATAATTTCTCAATAATAATAATAATAATAATTTTTGTCTAGAAAATAACACATTCGCAAAAATTCTGTTAAACAGGTGTAGTTTAAAAACAACAACAATAATAATAATTATACAAATTAAAATATAATAAATAGGATTTCATAATTCTTAATTATTTTTTAGAAAATAAAAAATATATATATACAAAAAAGGGTTTTCAAACTATTTAGATCCAATTAGTCTCAAACTGGCAACAACACTGGAAAACTGCAAACCTCATATAAAATAAATAGAAAATAAAACAGCTCGTATAAAATTTAGTTTGACCTCCTGAAGTTGACAAGCACAGCTTGATGGGGGGAAAATATATATTTTAAGAGTTTCGAGCCCTGTTTTGTACACAATTCATGCCTTTTGTAGACACATCCCCAATTTCAGTGCCCCAGAAACCTTTGGAAAATAATCAGCCAAGGATTTATTTAGTCTTGCATATAACAGATTCATTGGCAATATGAAGAAAGTCCTTGGGAGTCAAACTTAACTAGTTTGACAGCATGGAGGAGGCCTCTGTCAAAATCACTTCAAGTATAAGATTATCAGCACACACCTCTCTGTCTTATTTCCGTTCCCTAAATTAAGCTGATTAGGCATTGCATTTTATTTAGTCAGGGAATAAGACTTGCCTGCAGTTGTTAAATCCATAGGCAGCTTTACATGAGGATTACCTTCCAGAGACAGCTTTTATACACACCATTTCACAGGACACTCACGAGGCTGAGAAAACAAGCCATTTGAAAAGTAGGTAGATGGGCCTTCTTTAATATTCATCAAATATTAAAGCTAAGGTTATGAGTGCGGGAGTAGATTAAACAGGCACAATCCATTACATAAACGGGCTGTCAGACCGTAGATTATAACCATGTGACTGCATTAAAATTGCTCCAGCAAAAAAGAATTTAAGCAGCGCCGCATCGTAACAAAAAGAGCAGTGTCTAGCATTCACAGACATGAATGGTAGACACATTGACAGTGCGGTGACTGCTTCTGAAGCCTTTCAAGCGCTGGATTTAGCAGACAGAAGGACAAACATATTAGACAGATCACGGGTGCAGAGGTAACAGGTTTTCTCTGTCTCGCTCTCATAGGATGTGCTGGGTGCACAGCATGACGGGGGTGTGGGTTTATCCCTTGCTGGAGCACATCGGGCCCATGGCCAGAATTCTCTTCTTCGTCTGCCTCATGGCTCTGATCAGTGTCTACTACGTCTTGGGAGAAATCCTGAACAACTACATCTGGGATTCCTCAAAGAGTAAGTTAAAGGGATAGTTCAGCCAAAAATGAAAATTCTGTCATCATTTACGCCCCCTCATGACGTTCTAAGCCTTTATGAATTTCTTTCTTCTGTGGAACACAATAGAAGGTATTTTGAAGAATGTAGGTAACTAAACAGACTTATGCAGAGAAAATACTATGGAAGTCGATGGGACCCAAAACTGGTTACCAAGATTTTCTTAAAGGGACAGTACACCCAAAAATGAAAATACTGTCATTAATCTGTCAGACTTACTTCTGAGAGCAGAATAAAAACACCATAAAAGTAGTCCAGATAACTGCACTATATTCCAAGCCCTATGAAGGCTTTACTGTGAGGAACAAACAATATTAATATCTGGCTGATATTACCAATATTAATAAATGGCTGATATTAAAATTCTATATAGTTTTGTCTAATTAAATAAGCTAATTAATAAAAGATTACAAATAAAATCAATCATTTAAAATGTTACAAGTGAATTTAGGTTTCACAACTTATGATGTAGAGTAGGAAAAAAGTTATTTATTTTAAGATTGCTAAAGGCCTTATTAAAGGGATAGGCCACCCAAAAATGAAAATTGTCATCATTTTGATTTAGTCACCTTAATGTCATTCCAAACCCATAAGTGTTTGGTTAATCTTCAAAACACAAATTAAGAGATTTTTAATGAGAGGTTTCTGTCCCTCCATTAAAAGGTAACCAAAATTTATAAAAATCGAAAATCAAACTTACGAATTAAGCAATCCCTTTATGATCTTTTTGGATCTTCTAAATTAAACTTACCTGGACATAATTTAATTAATTATTTTTTTTTAAGATTTAATTTTTTAATTTTATTTTAACTTTTAGTGATTGTTAGATGATGGTAAATAAAGGTAAAAATAAGGGAATGAGCATTAACAATTACAAATCCAGTATCAACCATTAACAATAATTTACAAGCAATCTCTAATATCAGCGACTCACAGCATACCAAATTTGAATATGCAAATGTTTTTACATCATAAATTTATTGTATGCTTTTAGAAGACTTGGATAAAAACCTTACAATCCAAATAGATTATTCTATAGTGTGTTACTGTGTTTTTCCTTGCTCACTTTTGCATGGAAAGGAGCAGTGTAAACACCATCCTTTTGTGTTCTACAGAAAAAAGAACGTCATACAGGTTTGGAATGACTGTTTTTCTGATTTTGCGTATTATCCACCATTGACTGGCTACATGTGTGAGTTGTATGTTTATCATGTCTAGCTACAAATTGTATGTTTATCATGTCTAGCTACAAATT